ACAAAATTTAAGATGCATTATTATTATCATTATTATTGCTCTCTCAACTCTCTCAATGCTGAAGCTTCTAATAGAGCAACATCTGGAAGACTTCAAACTACTTTTTCCAGATATGAACATCATACCTAAACAGCATTACCTTTTGCATCTCCCCTCACAGATCCACGCACTCGGCCCCACGGTGAGGCACATGTGCATGCGCTTTGAGTCCAAGCATTGTTTTTTCAAGCAGTGGGCTTTGAAAAGTAGTTTTAAGAACATTTGTAAATCTCTTGTTCAGCACAACCAACTATATGAATGTAGTCTAAATGTGCATGAGAAACATCCAATTTTTTCGAGTGAACTGGAAATGGGCCCTGTGTCTGAGGTAGAAAATGTGAACTATGTGGAGGGGAAGATGAAGGACTTTTTTGGAGCTGAGGAAGTGGATTATATTGTCTCTGTACCTTGGATTATGCAAAATGGAAATAAGTACATAAGTGGAAAGACTTTGGTTATCTATAATGTCATCAATAATGTTCCAGAGTTTGGACTTGTGAGAAATATCTCTGTTGTAAATGGGTCAGTGTATTGTTCTGAATGCCAACCCCTTTCCACAATAGAATGGAATGAGCATTATTTAGCTTATGAGGTGGAAGTTCCTCATCTTGCTCAAGCCAATGTTTTTGTAGATGCTGGAAAGCTTGTTGATCATACAGCATACGACTATTTGACCTTTAAAAATGGCAAGCACATCCCAATTAAGTATGAGCTCACTGACATCACTGCACAAAACTCCTTCAATACAAACCAGCAAATGCTGCTCATTTGAAACCTTTTGTAAGTCTTCATTTCACTGTTTAATTGTGTGCATGTTGTCTGAGGATGTACATTTTTATCTGATTTAAAAGAAATGGTGTCTTTAAACTGTAACTCAACCTTCAGAAAACAAACTTGTCCTCCTTTTATCAGCATAGCTCTTTCTCGTATGAATTGGTGATTTTCCAATAAAATGCCTTCACTTGAATTAAGTAAAGTTTATTTCTTAAATCAAGATTATCTATCTTATACAAATTACACCTCAGCTTTACAAATATATGAAATGTCAAATTAGCCTCGTTTCTTCTAAAATACAACTCAAAACAAGATAATTTCAAGATTGTTTGACTTAACAAGATATTTAAGCTGCAGTGTCTTAAAACAAGTCCCTCTATCCTGCTGAAATGGTACTTGTTAGGTGAATTTATCGCAAATCAAGTGGGATGAGACATTTTGACTTAAAACAAGATTAATAAACTTGGTAAGATTTTGAGTTTTTGCAGTGTAGAAGATGGTAGAAGCTGGTAGAACCTGGCAGAACCTGGTAGAAGGTGGTAGAACCTGGCAGAACCTGGTAGAAGCTGGTAGAAGATGGTAGAAGGTGGTAGAAGGTGGTAGAAGGTGGTAGAAGCGTTTCAGCAGGAGTCACTGAGAATTCCTCTTTAAACGTGAATCTGAAACTGTGTTAAGTTTCTGTTCCAATCAATAATTTATATCGATGTATATCAGCTGTAAGCTCCAGACCTCCATGCCAGCGTACGGACTGTGAACGGGAGAAGTTACTGTGTTCAGGTTGAACCAGGGATCCGATTCGTTTGTCCCATTTCCATGATGCGTCCAGCCATACGTTGCATTCACTGTTTCTGAGTGTTTGTGGGGTTTTAGGTTTTCTGCTGGTTGACCAGTGAGTCGGTTCTTCTGGACCAAAACATTTCATCCGAACCTGCACGTGACACCTGAACCGGCTGAGTCTGAATGGTGACATTTCAGTGATGCTCAACAGAATTCTTACATCAGATTCAGGATTCAGGGCTGCAGGTGG